GGGGGCTCTGGGCGCCTTCAGGGGGAGGGCGGCTGTCCCTGGGGAGGCAGCTGTGCTCTCTGCAGGATGTTCCCACCCAGACTGGGGGGGCGGGGGGCGGGGGCTCCGCGAACCTCTGGGTTTCACTTTCCCCGGAGCTCAGGGGCCGAAGGAATGGGGCCCCAGGGCAGAGGGCACCGAGGCGGGAGCTGGGAGGGGACCCAGACAGGATGTGGGGCGCGGGGCGCTTTCTCCAGGAGGCCCCTGGCCCCCATCCACGCACACACTGTTAGGTGGCTCAGGAGGGGCGCAGAGAATAAAGAGAAGCAAGCCAGCCCGAGAAGCGGAAAGGAGAAAGTTTTATTCCGCGTCCCGGGCAAAACCCACCAGCCCACAGGCGCCGGCCTGGATTCGCCCACGGGGGCTTTGTTTATCCGAGGTGGGGTGGGGGGGCATGAGCTGAGGAAGTTCCTGCCTGGGGGTCGGCGGGTGTTCCGGAAGGAGTCAGTGTCTGTGCGGGGGGTCTGTGGATTCCAGGGAGGAGCCGGGTCTGTCTGGCAGGCTGCTCTGTAGAAATCCCAGGGGGGGTCCGTTATCTCGTCACAGGGCTGCACGCACCCCATCCTGGGCTCCCCCGACCTAACACACCACACACGCTGCTCCCTGCGGGGCATCAGAAGACCCAGGACAGGGCCCGGCCGGCCTGGCTCAGTGCGTGGGCCTCAACCTATGAACGGGGGTCATGGTTCGGTTCCCAGGCAGGACACATGCCCGGGCTGTGGGCTCCCTCCCCAGGGTGGCTCAGTGGATAGAGGCAGATCAGTGATTCTCTCATCGTTGATGTTTCTCTCGCCCTTCCTCTCTGAAATCAATAAAAATAAAATTTTTTAAAAAATGAAGAAGAAGAAGAAGAAGGCGGCCCAGGAAATGGGCCAGGAACCCGCTCCAAGGTGCTGCCAGGAGGGAGGGCTGTGCGGGGTGAGCAGCACCCCTGGGGGCCCCGCTGCGAAAAGAAAGGCTTTGGCCCTGGAGCGGTCGCCCACGGGGGACCTTGGGAGTTGGGCCTGGGGAGTGGGGGCGGCAGAGGAGAGCTGCAAGCGCTCCGCCCACCCCAGCGGCCGGCCAGGGCAGGGCTGGGCTGGCTGAGTGACAAGGGGACGTCCTGGGGTGCCCTGAACTGAACAGCAGGGGCCGGAGGTGGGAGGGAGAGACAACAGGAGGTTAACCCTGTGCGGCTGTGGGTGGGGGAAACAGCACACACCTTCCACATTCCCGAGCTTGCTATGTAAGAAACAGTCAAGCCGTGAAGACGTTTTGTGAGTTTGTTTGCGCCCAACTGCGGACAAAGGCCGGAAAGCAGAATCTCAGGGATGGAAATCATGCTCCCAGAATGGCGGCGTTGTAACGCACCCCGCGAATCACAGAAGGACGCCCCAAGAAGTGGAATTAACGAGTCACATTTACTGCAATCCGGGACTGTGCGGGGCCATTCCCAAATCCCATAGCCATAAGATGGTGGCAAAACCAGACGTATATAGGCAAAGATCACACAGGTATTGATTACATCCCAGGGTTTGGAATGAGGCACCTGGCTCCCAAAAAAGCAGATTACAGAAGCAGAATTAAGCATGTTAATTACAGTTTCGGGTCTCAGGGTCACTGAATTGATAGAAACACATTATCTAGAGCCCCCGGGTCTCCCGACCACTGAGTTGTCAGGACAATTTAGGGTAATTGTGCTGTCCTGGTCTCGGGACCACTGAGGCAGCTGGGACGCAGCACCTGTGGCCACTAAAACAATTTAGGGGAATTGTGCTGTCCTGGTCTCAGGACCACTGAGGCAGCTGGGACGCAGCACCTGTGGCCACTAAAACAATTTAGGGGAATTGTGCTGTCCTGTTTCCAGGCACAGAAGAATGTGGTCTCTAAGACCAGTATGATCACAATCAATGGGAGAGTCATTCCATCGATAAGGCATTCAATCGAATGGGATGACTTATACAATTTAGGAAATCAAAGTAACCTGTCCACTGTTAAACAAAGCAGATAGGTACCATACTTCAGCGGTTCCTCACCTTTCTCCTAAATTGCCATCCAGGCTGAGCCACAGGTGGGTCACATGAATCCACTGGGGCTGCACAGGGAGGCGGGAGGAAGCACAGCAGGAAGCTCTGGGATTGGGTGGCACAAGCTTCCGTCACTCAGGCGAGGGCAGGACAGTGGCCAGCCCACAACCAAGAGCGAGGACGCCTACCGGGTCTGTGGGCTCCGCCCTGGCGCCGTTGGCTGTGCCCCGAGTTCCAGAAAAGGGGATGTGATGAGTCACCTGACATTCACAGGTGTTTTCTCAGAGGCAGAGACAACAGGCTCAGTTAAGATCAAAGTTGACCTTTGCCAGGGAATACACTGGCCGAGGCCAGGACTGCCCACTGTCAACTGCTGTTTAATTTTAAAAAGTTTCCCCTTCAGACCATCCTGGGTGGTGGCCATCGGGTCCCTGAGTTTGCAAGGCCACCAGGCAGGCCGCCCCTGAGCAGCCAGGCCGGCACGCGGCCCTTTTCGTGCACCGTGTGTGGGAGCTACACGTCCAGGCGGCCGGGACCGGGGCCTCTGCCTTCCTGTGAACTTCCCGGGAGCCAAGCCTCCGCCCGCAAGGCCGGCCTGTCCGGGGCTGGTGCTCACCTTCCCCGCCCCACCTGTAGCCGGGGCTGCCTCTGGGCTGCGGGCTCTTCTAAACGTACCTGTGTTAACGTAAAAAAACCATTGAAACCTGTAAAGAATTTTTGTGAGTTTATTTGAGCCAAACTGTCGACATATTCCGGGAAGCAGAACCTCAACGAATTGAGATAGTGCTCCGGAGAATGGCTGGGTTACATCTGTATTTATACATGAAATTCATTGGTGACAGATTTAAGGCGGTGGGATCAAGCGAAGCGGAGAAACCTCCGTGATAGGATAAAAAGTAAAATGATGGACACACACTTAGGTGGGTGCAGGAACAATTAACATGATAACAATGAAGGAATCTGTGGTATCTGTCCTGGGCCCAGCACATCTGGCCATGCCCCAGGGGCTCCAGATACAGGGAAGTCACAAGTTACCCAGACATCCCAAGGGTATGTTATCATAGATGCAAAAAGACAGATAGGCTCAGTTACGGTAAAGGTTGACCTTATCAGTGAAGATATCGGCTTAGGGCGGAACTGCCCACCATAACTGCTTTTAGTTAAGGTTTAATTTCAGACCATCCTTTGTGGTTACTTTAGGTCTCGAGACTGCAAAACTGCCATGCAGGCCTCTCCTGAGCTTGTCCGGTCAGCATGTGCCCCCTTTCGTCCACACCTGTTAGGTCTGACTGATACTCCCTCTGCTGGACACTCACCTTTAGGCCACTGCACGCGGACATTCCACTTGTAAGACCATCATCTCTCCCCTCCGGACTTTCCCAGAATCTGGACCCGCCCGGTGAATTCTCCACCCAGAAAAAGCCGCCTCGAGGCCTTTAAAACCTCTGACTGCCCGTCCCCAGGTGCTGACGCCATTTGGGGGTCAGCCCATCTGGTATCCGGACGACCTAATAAATTCATAATCCCTCGTCGCTTAGGCCTCGCGACCCTGACAATAAGATAGGGCCCGGCCAGTGTGGCTCAGTGGTTGAGCGTCAACCTAGGAACCAAGGAGCTCGCGGTTCAGTCCCCAGTCAGGGCAGATGCCAGGGTTTGGGGCTCGGTGCCCAGTAGGGCACGTGCAGGAATGAAAGAGCCGGTCAACTTCAGGACGCAATGGCCGGATAAACCCTTTCAGCCGGGGCACGGGCGGGCTGGAGGGGGTTAATGGGAGGAAAAGGGGGACATAGGTAAGACTTTCAACAATAAAGCTTTTATTTATTTATTTATTTTTAAATATATTTTATTGATTTTTTACAGAGAGGAAGGGAGAGGGATAGAGAGTTAGAAACATCGATGAGAGAGAAACATCAATCAGCTGCCTCCTGCACACCTCCTGCTGGGGATGTGCCCGCAACCCAGGTACATGCCCTTGACCGGAATCAAACCCGGGACCCCTCAGTCCGCAGGCCGACGCTCTATCCACCGAGCCAAACCGGTTTCTGCAACAATAAAGCTTTTAAAATAAATAAATAACAGTAAAAAGGCTTCCAGCCCTGGCAGTTAAGTCTTGGTTTCGCAGGAGGATGGAGAGTCCGCCTGGGCAGCGTTGGCCCATGTGGGTGGAGGCCATCTGGTCGGTGGGGAGGGCGACAGGGCTCGAGGCCCAGAAACACACAGCAGCTCTGGCCGGGGCCCAGGCCTCCGCGTCCCGACTGCCCTGCCCGTCACCATGGGACGGTGGGACCCGTGACCCGGCCAGCAGGCCAGCCGGGGGTGGGGCTCTGCTGTGCTCCGGGCAGCATCGCTCAGACGCCTCCGGTCTGTTGGCTGCAAACCGGCACCAGCAGGGTCCCAGCGACCGGACCTCAGTTGGGCCACCTGGGTACTTGAGTTCTGGCTGCGGACGAAAGGGGCCACACCACACGCTGACCTGACAGCTCAGAGGAGGCCTGCGTGACGGCCTTGCAAACTCAGAGACCGAAAGTCACCACAAAGGATGGTCTGAAATTAAACTTTAACTACAGCAGTGATGGTGGGCAGTCACGTCCTAGGCCGGTATCTGCACTGACAAGATCAACAACCTTTACCTTCACTGAGCCTGTCTGTCTTTTTGCATCTATGACAACATGTCCTTGAAATGTCCGGGTAACGTGTAACTTCCCTTTTTCCGGAGCCCTCGGGGCACAACCTAATGTGCTGGGCGCCAGGACAGAGACCACAGATTCCTTCACTGTTACTATGTTCATTGTTGACTGTTAACTCTCCTGCACCCACTTAAGTATGTGTCTATCATTTGGTTTTTTATCCAATCCCAGAGGCCCCTCCCCCAGCCCCAGCCCCCACCCCCACCCCCGCCTTGCTTTCTCTCACCCCCTAATTTACTGCCAATGGGTTTTGGGTGACCCACTTACGTCTTTTCCTTCGACGGTCACGTATAAAGCAAGGTGAAAAGCCGCCATTCTCCGAGCATTACTCCGACCTGTTGAGACTCTGCTTCCCAGCAACTGTCGACAGTTTGGTTCAAATAAACTCACAAAAATCCTTCACAGGTTTGGCTGTTCCGACGTGAACACTAGCACCTGGGAATTGCAGCCTGCTGACCTTCCACACCTGCCCAGGCCTCTCCACTGCCTGCCGCATCCCGCCCTGAACTCCTGGCTCTGCATTCCTCGGGGAAAGGGGCGCAGGGTCTCTCCGGTAGCTGCTTCCTGCTGAAGAGGGCCGGCGTTTCCCTGCAGAGTCAAGAGACCCGGGCTCTCTGTAGAGGCCTGGGCACAGAAGGAGCTGGGGATGGTGCCAGCACTGGCAAAGGGCCGTATTCCCTGAGTATGAGCAGGGCTTGTAACCTGGTGGCGACAAACTGTGTTGTTGGTGGGAGGAAGAATAGTTTTAGTTCTCAATAATTTTCAAGTCAAAGGATGGGAGAAGATGAAACATTAGTGTGAAGAGTAGTAACCAAATACTGAAGAAAAACAGAAAAATTCAGGATCCAGGTCAGTTCATGGATGAAAAACAAAACTTGGTAGACAAGTAACTGAACTAGGGTCTCATCTTCACAACTGTGTATTCTAGATTCTGTTGGAACACAATCTCCCCTAAAATCACTCTCATTTTCATCAAAAAGCCAAATTAAGAGCAATTTACTTACTGCCTTAAGTCCAGTTTCCATTTGGCCTGCTTATTTGCATAAATATAACAAGAATCATAATTGCTCATGTAGGCTTTCTTCGGTCTGCTTCTCTGGAATCCCTTAAAGAATGCCCAGGGGGGCCCAGCGGGCGGGGCTCAGGGGCTGAGCATCCACCTGTGACCCAGGAGGTGACGCTTGGATTCCCAGTCAGGGCACAGGCCCCGTGGTGGGCTCCTCGATCCCCAGTAGGGGGCGTGCAGGAGGCAGCCGATCCATGATTCTCATCATTGATGTTTCTATCTCTCCCTCTCCTTTCTCTCTGAAATCAATAAAAATATATTTTAAAAACATCAGAGCCTGTTCCCTTCCAACTAGGCAATGTTATGAGATAGATATACATTTAATCCTGAGAGAGAGAGAGAGAGAGAGAGAGAGAGAGAGAGGGAGACATCGATCCCTTGCCACCGTGCTCACCTGACTGGAGATCGCACCCAGGACCGTTTTGGTGGACAGTACGACACTCAATCAACTGATCCACCCGCCAGGGCGACAACGTATATTTTTGCTCATCAAATCTGCCCCGATTCACCTAATAGGACGAGATTTTCTTGAAATCAGTGATGCCCACAATCTCTCTCTCCCTCTCCCTTCCTCTCAGAAATCAATCAAAAGAAATTTGTTTTTGAGCAAAAGCAAAGTTTTCTTACAGAAAAGCTGTAAAACGGGGACTCACTGCAGTAGACCGTCACGGTGTGGGCCACGCAGACCTGGTCTGGGAGGAGCACACCCTGGTGACTGGGAAGCAGGGGACGGAGGGGGGGGGGGCTCCACCCTCTGCAGGGCCCAGGGACCTTCCAACATCGAGGCGGCCAGCTGTGTGCCCTGCGGGGCTGGGGGCCTCGGGGTGCCTTCCGGGGCCTGGTGACAGTGCTCACCCAGGCTCTGCGCTCTCCTCCTGCCCGAGTGCCTCCCACCAGCCCTCCTGTGGGAAAATGGCCCCAAGCCCTCAGAGAGGAGGAAACGCTTCAAGACTCAGTGCCTCCATCGCCTCCTCCCCCTCCCTCCTCCTCCTTCCTTTCTCCCTGCCCCCCTCCCGCTCCTGCCCTGGAGCTTGGCCCTCGCCCGGGTTCTGCTCTGGGTCAGGCTCACCAGCCTCTGCCACTGGACTCCCTGAGTGTCACCTCTGATGGTCCAACCGCCAGCTGTTCTCTGGCTCCGATGAGCCGCCTCCTCCTTGAAGCCCTCCACCTTCCTACCACCTGCACCTCCAGACCACTTCCCGCCACACCTGAGAAAGAAACCCGTCTCAGACACCCGTGGGCTCCTGTCCCCTGTCCCCACGGTGAGAACCAGGCTTCCCCCCACCCCCCACCCCCCACCGCCGGTCTGTTACAGGAGGAGAAGGCGGCAGAGCTGATGCAAGGGCTGAGCGGGCCCAGGGGCGCTCTGGGGGAGACGCAGCCCCGGCCACACCTCTGCAGGTGCTGAGGGTGGAGGCTGTGGTCCCAGGGACCCGGAGACCCCCCGGCGCGGGAGCTGGGGAGCAGGGGCTGACGGGGGTGGACTGGGAGGAGGGACAGCCAGCGACCGGATCCAAGGAGGGGAGACCTAGGGCAGGGGCACGGCCGGGGGGTTGGGACCTCGGGGTGAAGCCTCCTTCTCTGCTCCCCACAGGCTGAGCCCTGTGCCGGAGCCATGGGGGCGCTGGTGCTGGCGCTGTGGGCCCTGCTGGCGGGCCCGGCCGTGGTCTCTGTCCTGCGTGGCCGCGGGGCTGCCCCGCTGGACTTCGCTGACCGCAGAGCACAGACAGGTGCGGGGGGGGGGGGGGCTGGCGGGCGGGACGCACCGGGGGTGCTCAACGGGGCGCAGTCCTGCTCCAGCCGCTGCCCCGCAGGTAGGAACCTGACCTGCTTTCGCTGCTTCAAAGTCACGGAGATGGAGCTGTGCCAGCCCACGGCCTGCGCCCCGACCGACCGCGTCTGTGTGGGCCACACGGTGATGGTCCAGTACAGTGAGTCCCGGGCGCCGGACCGACGGCGCCGCCTCTCCTCCACCCGGGTCTGAATTGGGGCCGCCTTACCTCCGCCCTTTTGATTTCATTAATTAATTTATTTTATTTTTTAAAATCCGCACCCGAGGGTATTTTTCCATTGAGTTTTAGAGAGCGTGGAAGGGGGGAATGAGACAGAGAGAGGGACATGATGAGAGAGACACAGCCATTGGTTGCCTCCTGCCCGAGCCCTGACCAGGGACCCGGGGGAGGAGCCTGCAATCAAGTCGTGACCTCGATCAGGAATCGAACCCGGGACCCTTCGGGCTGCAGGACAACGCTCTCTCCGCGAAGCAAAATCGTCTCGGGCTCCTCCTTTTACTTTTTTAGTTAATTTTTTATTTTTTTGTACAGCGAAGGTGGAAGTTCATTGAAGAACAAGAACAGGCTCCCACGTGGGGAGGGGCAAAGAGTCTCCCTCCTCCTTAAAAAAAAAAGTGTTTTATTGATGTCAGAGAGGGAGGGAGAGGGAGGGAGAGGGAGGGACACATCCATGATGAGAAGGAGCCATGGGTCGGCTGCCTCCTCACGCCCCCCACTGGGGACCGAGCCCACAGCCCGGGCCTGTGCCGTGACGCGCATGGAACCCCAACCTCCTGGGTCATAGGTCGAGGCTCAACCCCTGAGCCCCCGCTTGGCTCCTCCTCCTTCGGAGGTACCAGTTACTAAGCCCGCAGGACAGGGCGCTGGGGTACCTGACCTTTGGGAGAGCTGGGGCGGGGGCGGGGGGTGCTGGAGGCCTGGCTGTGGGAACAGGGGAGCCAGGGGGCTGCACCCAGCACCTGCGGGCCCACCAGCTGCCCACCTGGCTACTCCCCCATGGGCAGTGGGCTCACCTGGTGGGAGACCCCTTCACAAACAAGCCTGACAGGAGATGCACACTCAGATGTGAATGCGTCCATGCGCGTGTCACTAGCGAGCAAATGGCCGGAGGGGGGGGTGGGCCATCTGTCCTCTGAGAAGCCCAGAGCTTGTGGGCGTGGTTTGCTGCGCTGGTTCTTGGGGACCTGCCAGCCGCTCCGGCTTCAAGTCCTAGGGGCCGGGCTGGGCGTGGTTATCTTTTTAAATATATTTTATTGATGTCAGAGAGGAAGAGAGAGGGAGAGAGAAACATCCATGATGGGTTCCTGGACCGGCTGCCTCCTGCACGCCCCACACTGGGGATGGAGCCCGCAACCCGGGCCTGTGCCCTGACCGGGCATCGAACCGTGACCTCCTGGGTCATCGGTCGATGCTCCACCACTGAGCCACACCGGCCAGGCTCCACCACGTCCTGAAAGGGGCGGCGGGGAGGCCCGAGCCCGGGCTGAGCACACAGCTGGGCCTCCATCCTTCCTCTGCTCCGCTGCTCCCTCGAAGCTGGAGTGGCCTCAGGGCAGAGCCACAGCAGGCCCGCAGTGGAGGTGATGGCCGTGGGCAGCCATGTCCCCGAGCCCTGCAGGGCGTGGCCCGTGGGAGCCCCAAGGGGAGCATCTGGGAGCGCGTGGGGCCACTGCCTGGCTCCCAGGGCCTGGCCGGACGGACAGCACCCCTGCCGGCCAGGGTCCTCCCTCCTGGGGGCAGCCGCCCGCTTTCCGCTTTCTCCCGCAGAATCCAAGGTGGGGGTTCTGCTCAGCAAGCGCTGCGCCCCCCGGTGCCCCAACACCAACATGGCCTATGCGTGGCTGTCAGAGCCCTGGTTCTTCAGGAGGATCACCAGGCAGTGCTGCAACGTGAGCTTCTGCAACGGGGCGCCCCCCGCCCCCGGGCGGCCCTGGGCCCGGCCAGGCGGGCTGCTGCTCCCGCTGGGCCTCAGCCTCCTCGCGGCCTTGCCGTGAGCCCTTCCCGGCCGCCCGCAGGCCCGGTCCCCCACCCCAGCCGGCCCGGCCTCCTCTCCCAGAGCCTGGAGAAGGGAGCCCTGCTTCCTAGGGGGAGTGAAACACCGGGTGTGGGCAGCGGCTCCCTGGATGAGGTTCCTGGCCCGGAACAGACTGTCCAGGGCCGGGAGGGGCCGGGAGGGGCAGGGAGGGGCCGGCGATCTGGCTCCAACTTGCTCTGTCTCCTTGGCCAGCCCCACCCCCACTCCTCTGTCCAGGGGGCCCAGGCCGATCCGCACTGTGGGTGCCACCCGGGCTTTGGGGCCAGGACCTTCACTCCTTCCAAAGACAATAAACTTATTCTTCAACCACACCCTCCAGCTCCTTCCGCCTTTTCTTTTTCTTTTTTTTAATAATTGATTTCAGAGAGGAAGGGAGAGGGAGGGAGAGATAGAAACTTCAATGATGGGAGAGAATCCTGGATCGGCTGCCTCCTGCACACCCCACACTGGGGATCGGATCGAGCCTGCAACCCGGGCATGTGCCCTGACCGGGCATCCAACCGTGACCCCCTGGTCCACATGGCGATGCTCAACCACTGAGCCACCGGGCTGGGGTCCTTCTGCCATTTCCGCCCGCCATGGTGGGGCACATCTCTGGCCCAGCTCTCAGCAGACCTCTGTGGTCACGTGTCGTCCATGCCTGGGTCTAGGTCACGTCTGGATGAGACATCCAGCTGGGCTGTGGGCCAGCCCCTGCGTTCTAGCCGCAGGCTGAGGGCCAGGTCCTCCAAGGGCCAGCTGGCCTCTGCGTGGGGAGGCGGGGAGGGGACTGGAGGGCCTGGGGCACGTGCGGGGCTTAGTGGGGTGCATCTGGGGCTGTGGGGTGCAGAGGTGCTGGGAGGGGCCGGGGGGCCCACGGAACCCGTGTCTGGTGGGCATCAGGGTTGGATACAGCGAGGGCTGATGGAAGGGCTGAAGGTGCCCGGGATGGCTCCGTGCCAGGCCTGGGGGGACCACCCTGGTGAGGGACACAGAGGAGGACTCAGTTGGGACAGGTGACACCAAGGACCAGCTCAGGGCTGTCCAGGCTGAGCTGGGTCGCCCTTGGGACCCCCTGGTGGGCAGGGAGATGGAGGACAGGGGAGAGCAGGGCCTGGGCCTGGGGACCAGCGGAGGAGGCGGGGCGTCTGCGTCCCTGGAGGCACAGGCCACCCCTGTACACACCGCAAAGCTGCTCCAGGCCAAACGCAGGCCCCGGGGTGGATTCCAACAGGATTTGCTGTCGGGTGGTAACTTCCGGGGGACGGAACTGGAGCAGAAGGGACCCCGCCCTCTGCACAGGTGACCCCGGTACACAGCAGTGGATACACAAAGGCCTGGCAGGACCTGACCTGCCGGTGACGGGCAAGCAGAGGGCAGGGCGGGTCAGGAACGCACTGCGGATGAGGGTGTAGAACTGGCGCCAACACAGTCTGACCTTTGTCTCCATTGTTCTGCCTTTTGCGCCCTTCCCGACAGGAGGCTGCACGGCCCGCGGCTGGGCTCGCAGACCACAGCGAATCCCTAACTCCAGGCCTGGGTCTGCCGCCCAGGACCCTGAGCTCAGTCAGAGCTGAAGCTCGAGATGAGAGAGGGTGGGGGTGCCCAAGGTCTGTTCACATCAATATCTGGGTGGGGCACGGCTGGCACGGCTCAGTGGTTGAGCATCGAACTATGAACCAGGAGGTCACGGTTCAGTTCCTGTCAAGGGCACAGGCCGGGGCTGCGGGCTCCATCCCCAGTGGGGGGTGGGGGATCCTGGAGGCAGCTGATCAATGAGTCTCTCTCATCATTGATGTTTCTCTCTCTCTCTCCCTCTCCTTTCTTCTCTGAAATCAATAAAAACATTTCTTTAAAAGAAGCCAAATGAATACCGGACAGGAAAATCCAAACAAACACACGCTCAGACATGTCATAATCCAACTGCTTCAATGCAGTGATGTCACATGCCAGGGTTCTCCCTGTGGGAGAAAGGAGATGAGACGTGCGGAGGGGGGGGTTGTGGAATGTGTTAGCGATTGCAAAGCGGTATGAGTATGAATATGTATTCTCTGAAGGAAGTACCCGCCAGGAATAAGCACGCATTGGCCCAGATCGCGGTTTTTAAATACCATAAAATAACATTTCCTTCTCAAAGGAACCTGAACTTTAAAGGAAGCGAATCCCAGGGGATAGAGAGGAGAAATAGAGTGAAATGCATCAGAATGCCAACTCTTCGATGTAGAGACAAGGGTGGAAATACATAACCACCATTTGGCAAAAACGCACAGTCATAAGTCATTTCAGGAACGAACCATCATTGACGCTAACTCCGTGGGCAAGCGAATTATGTGTAATAGGACATTTACGTAATTTCAAAGTGCCTCTCACAAGACCCGAATTCAATGCAAGGGGTCAAATGGTAACTTTCCGGAGGAAAAATCTGGCAGGTGCCACCTTAACCAGGGGGCCGGAGTCACCACCGCCAGTGAGGACACAGGTAGTGTCACGTGTCCTGGTGTGACTAGTGCCGAGAACACCAATGCAGTTAGGTGATTTTTAAAAAACACATGTTTTTATTGATTTTTAGAGAGAGAGGAAAGGAGAGTCATAGAGAGATAGAAACATCCACGGGAGAGAAACATCATCCGTTGTCTGTCTCCTGCACCCGCCCCCCCCCCCCCCCCCGCCCGGGGGATCCAGCCCACAACCTGGGCATGTGCTCTGACCAGGAATTGAACCGGTGACCGTTAGGTTTCTGGGTCGACGCTCAACCACTGAGCCACACCGGCCGGACTAGGTGATATTTTTTGGCAAAATGCTTAAGCTGAAGGGGCTCATGAGTGAGCAGCAAGCCCAAATGATGAGACTTTCTACAAAATAGCTGGCTATTTCTCTTCAACAGTGTCCAGGTCGTGAAAGAAATCAAGACGGACAGCCTGTTCCAGATGGAGGGGGCTGAGAGCGCGAGATACCCACGTGGTCTTGGACCGGAGGGCGGACGTGGACGGAGAAAGGCGCTGGGGGCAGCTGGGGAAACGGGCATGGTCTGTAGACAACAGGGTTGGTCCATGTTAATTTGGTGACTTCGATCTTGTCCTGCAGTCATGTATGGGGCTAAGATTTGGGGAATCTGTGTAAACAAGTTACCTAGGGCGGTTCTTACACTTGTCGGCAACCTTTTTAGAGATTTGACGTGATTTCAAAGTGAGGTTTAGATTATGGACTTCCGAACAGGACGGTGTCTTTATTCTTCTTCTGCAAATGTTCAGAGGGAAGTATATTTTGTCCACACGACTACCTGCCCTTCATCGATCCCAAACATGTCGAGAAGTGATGTTTTTATCCGTTCTAGGTATTTTATTTTTTTTTTTTTATTTTTTTTTTTTAAATATATTTTATTGATTTTTTACAGAGAGGAAGGGAGAGAGACAGAGAGCTAGAAACGTCGATGAGAGAGAAACATCAACCAGCTGCCTCCTGCACATCTCCCACTGGGGATGTGCCCGCAACCCAGGTACATGCCCTTGACCGGAATCGAACCCGGGACCCTTCAGTCCGCAAGCCGACGCTCTAGCCACTGAGCCAAACCGGTCTTGGCATTCGTTCTAGGTATTTTAAAAAATATATATTTTATTGACTTTTTACAGAGAGGAAGGGAGAGGGATAGAGTCAGAAACATCGATTCAGCTGCCTCCTGCAGGCTCCCCACTGGGGATGTGCCCGAAACCAAGGTACATGCCCTTGACTGGAACCGAACCCGGGACCCTGGAGTCCACAGGCCGATGCTCTATCCACTGAGCCACACCGGTTAGGGCCGTTCTACGTATTTAAAAATATATACATATATAAAGTCTTTCTAAAGACTGTGTGGATTCGCAATGTGCTGCCTTTTCATTTTTACACGGGAAAACAACGTGTTCATCTGTCCTTTCATTGATTTCTGACTTAATTGTACTTAAGCCGGGGAAGGTGGCCCTGAGAGGTGAGATCCAGGCCTCTGGGAAGCGATACGATCTGAACGCGCTGAACACAGTCAGAGACCAGAAGGTCCTGTTCGGACTCGGTTGACGGTCGGAGCCCAGGGGCCTGGTGTTCAATCACTTCCAGCTGGAGCCCTGGGGCGCCCGGCTTCACGGAACACGAACTGAACATGAAAGTCCTCCCATCGCCGCCCTTGGCCCCCACCGGGAGCTCAGGGGGTCCGGGCCTGTCCCTCAGCCATCGGTGGCCCCCACGAACCTGCCTCCCATGCTCCACGGTGCGGACGCCAGTGTCCTGCTCCTGGGCCTGTCACAGGCCGAAGGGGTGCATCGGAGCTGGGGGCTGGCCCGAAGTGGGGAGCCCAGGGCCCTGCCCCCGTCCCCCACCCCCCACCCTCCTCCCTTAGGCCGGAAGCAACCCCTCCCCCACCCCACGCCCGCTGCCCCGGCTGCTGACTTAAGGAGCCCAGGAAGCCCGGCGGGCAGGGTTGACTGTCCTCCATGCCCAGCTCTGGCCGAGGGCAGGTGGAGACTGGGTGAGGGTGAGGGGCCCTGGGGTGCGGGACAAAGGCCCTGAGGGGCCGGGAGGGCCTATGCAAATGCCAACAGAGGGTGCGGGTGCGGGAGGGAGGGAGGCGGGGAGGGCAGGAGGCAGGTGCAGCACCAGGGGTCCTGGGTAAGGAAGGCTCTTCCTCTGGGGTCCCCCCTCAGGCCCGACTGCCCCGCCATGAGAGGGTTCCTCCTGCTGCTGTGGGCGGCTCTGGTGGGCGCCACCAAAGGTGAGGCCCGCAGCCGAGGGGAGCTCCGCGGGGCCCTGGGCGCGGGGCGTGGCGGGGGCTTCCCCCGGGTGGGGAGTCGCTGGGGGGCGGGAGCCGGGTGCTCCCTGAGCCTGCCCCGGCCCCTCTCCCGCAGAGGGCCACCTGCAATGCTCCCACTGCCTGGCCACCAACAGCACCTCCGCCTGCAAGCCCGTCATGTGCACCCCGCCCAACATCCTGTGCTTCTCCCATGAGGTCATCTTCACGTGGGGTGAGTCCCTGCAGGCGGCGGAGACGCTGGGGTGCGCCGGGGTGCATGTCCAGCTGGCGGCCGCCCCCCCCTCCCCCCGGTGAAGCTCAGAGGAGGAAGAGGAAGGGCCCTGCGTTTGCAGAGCCCCAGGCCTGCTCCTGTTTGCTGGGCTCAAATGGAGAGAATGCGCAAAGGTGCAGGGCTCCGAGGGGCCTCCCTCTCCTTAGCTCTCCTCCGTCTCTGCTCCTTCCATCTGGGCTTGGATTTAGGGGGGGGGGGGGCAGGGGGGCAGGGCGCTGTCCTGGCTGAGGGCGGGCTCTCTCTGGAGCTTTGATCTCAGGTTGGACCCCTCCTCCCCAAGGACCTTCCTCCCGTCCTCCCTCACCGAGGATGTTTTTCCATTGATTTTTAGAGAGTGGAAGGGATGGGGTCACTGATGTGAGACACATTGATTGGTTGCCTCCCACACCCCCCCAACCCAGGTACGTGGCCTTGACCTGAATGGAACCCCAGGACCCCTCAGTCCAAAGGCTGACGCTCTGTCCGCGGAGCCCCCCCACAGGGCCCCTTCTTGGACTTGGAGGCTCCTGGCTCCTTCCCGTGTGGGTTGGGGGGGGGGGGCGCGGGTCCTGCAGACACACAGCACAGAGACCTCTGACCGCCTCCATCACGCCCCCGAGTGAGGAAGGGCCGAGCCTGGCCGGGCGCCTGCAGGTGCTGGGACTCGCCTGCTCCCCTACATCCTGTGCCCCCACTCGCACAGCACCCCTGGGAACCCGGGCTGAGGGCCCCCCACCCCCACAGGCTCACACCTGGTGACACCAGGAAAGCCCACCCTCCTGGCTGCCGGCCCCTCCTAAGCACCGCTGTCTCCCCCCCCCCCCCACCCCCAGGCTCCGAGCAACGCACCAGGGTCACCCGGGGCTGCACCAGCACCTGCGCCTTCAAGAGCCCCCCCGAGTGGGACCTGCTGACCCCCAACATGGTGGTGCTGGCCAAGGCCCTCTGCTGCTCTAAGAGCCTGTGCAACACAGGGGCCCCCGGGGGCCTCAGCGCCAGGACCTGGCACCGGGGGCTCCTGCTGGGCATGGGGCTCGGCCTGCACCATCTGCTGTGACGACCCCTCCCCTTCCTGCCCCCTAGCCCCCTGGGTGTGCACTGGGGGGCTGGCCTGTACTCTCTGAGTGAGGTTCCCGGTGGGGGAGGCGCAGACTCACAGCCTCCCCTGGTGTGACGGCCCTGAGCCTGGCCTGTGTGGTTCAGTGGATAGAGCACCAGCCTTCAGACTGAAGGGTCCTGGGTTCGATTCCAGTCAAGGGCACATGCCTGGGTTTCCGGCTCATCCCCAGTAGGGGGCGTGCAGGAGGCAGCCGATCAATGACTCTCATCATTGAAGTTTCTATCTCTCCCTTCCTCTCTGAAATCAATAAAAATATATTTTAAAAAAAGAGAAGTGGTCCCGTCCCACCTCCCTCCCTGTCCCCGTGCGTTCCTGTCGCCCGTCTCAGAGGGGGCTCGCCCGGCGCCGGCGGGCGGCTCGGTGTGTGAGCGTCGCCCTGGCCCCGGGGGCACCGGTCGCGCTCGCCAGGGCTCAGGCCCGGGCTGCATGGCGGCTGGTCCCCAGCAGGGGGCGCGCAGGAGGCAGCGGATTGATGATGTTTCTCGTCGATGTTTCTATCTCTCCCTTCTCTCTCTCTAAAAAAATAAATCAAAAACGTATTTTTTAAAAATAAGAGGGGCCTCGCCCTGCCAAAGCGTCATCCCCGCCCCTTCTGCGCCAGCGAGGCGGGTGGTGGCATTGTTGCCGGCGGACCCTCCGTCCCCGTCTCCCGGGAGGCTCCGCACACGCAGGAAGAGAGGCGCGCGGGGGGCAGGCTGGAAGCGGGGGGCAGGCAGGGCGGGGGCAGGCAGGGCGGGGGGGCGCAGGCCAGGGAGGAAGGAGCCCCTGGGAGGTGGACGAGGCCTGAGTGCCCCTCCCCGAAGAGGCGATGGGCGGCGGCGGGGTTCCCCTGCTCCAAGCCCCCCTCCCCACGCCCACGCTCTCTCCATCCCACCCTCCCCGGCCCCGTCTCCCTGGCACTCCGGGTGTCTCGCCAGCACCTCGGGGAGGGGACCCTGCAGCCTCGGGAGCGCCGGCCCCGAGCGCCTCCTGGCGACCCGGGCGCGTAAGTGAGCCGCGCCCTGGGCGCCCGGCTCGCCGCCAGCGGGCACGCCCGGCCCGGCCCGGCCTCTGCCGTCATCAGGGCTGCAGGGCCGTGCGGGTGAAGCCGGGGCTGCCGTGGCGGCGGGGCTCGGCTCGGCTCCCGGTGGCGGGAACCTGCCCGGGGCGGCGGGGCGGGGCTGGCGGCCGCCCCCTCCAGGCGGGAGCTCGGCTGCTACCCCGAGGACACAGGTGCGGCCGCGGGTGGGCCCCGCCTGCTGGTGCGCCCGGAGTTCAGGGCGTCTGACCCGCCGGGCGGGCCCCGCTCACAGGCTGGGAGTGTCACCTCCCAAAGGGATGGGCCTGCGCGTGTCCGGCACAGCGTGTGCGCTTCCGGAGAGGATGCCACCCCTTCCCCCGAGTCCGAGGGGGTTTGGGGTTTGGTCTTGGGCCGAACCGGGCGGAACAACGTCCCTAGGAGCCCGCTATCCCACGGACGGACGCCAGAGGGCGCCACCCCTCCGCCCGCCTCCCTCCGGGGAAATTCGCCGGGAAGCCCGTCAAGGTGAACGGATCCAAAGGGGACCGCCCCGCCGCCAGGAGGGGGCACCCCCCGCCCCCCGGGCGACACCTGAGCCTACGTAGTGGTTCTCAACCTGTGGGTCGCGACCCCTTTGGCGGTCGAAGGACCCTTTCACAGGGGTCACCTAAGACCATCCTGCATATCAGATATTTACATGACGATTCATCACAGTAGCAACATGACAGTGATGAAGTAGCAACGAAAATAATGTTATGGTTGGGTCACAACATGAGGAACTGTATTTAAAGGGCCAGAAGGTTGAGAACCACTGCAAGGTCAGTGGCCAGCCTGGGGGCGGGGCGGGACGATTGACTGGACACTTCGGGGAGACTGAGTCACAGAAGGAATCTCTGGGCAGTGTGGCCTCTACCGTGGCTCGCTAATGACCAGAGAACCGCAGCATAAAAGGACATTGAGCGTCGGCCGGTGTGGCTAAGTGGCTAGAGCATCAGCCTGCGGACTGAAGGGTCCTGGGTTCGATTCCAGTCAAGGGCACATGCCCAGGTTGTGGGCTCCATCCCCAGCAGGGGGCGTGCAGCAGGCAGCTGAGCAATGATTCTCTCAGCATTGATGATTATGTCTCTCCCTCTCCCTTCCTCTCTGAAGTTAATAAAAATATATATTTTTAAATCTGAGCAATGAGGGGGCGCAGAGGGGACAGGAGAGTGTGTCCAGGAGGTGGTAGTGAGGTGGGAGGGGACTGGAAAGGGGGGCAGGTGGGTGCCCGTCGGGTAACTTAGCCAGGCCCTCATTCCGAGGGCTGTGTTCTGACCCTGAGGCCCCAGGTGCAGCTGCACACACAAGGGCTGTGGTGCGCGGGGCCCTCCGCCTGTGCCTGGTGGCGCTCGCCCTGCGCTGGGGGCGGTGAGCCTCTGCTCCCTCAGGCACATGTCCCCTCACTCTCCAGACGGCTGGGAGCAGAGCCGCGCAGGCGGGGCTGGGTCCTGCGGGGGATGATGGACGGGGCGAGGGCCAGGGCTGGCTCCTGGAAGGGGGGGCAGGAGCTGATTGGAGAGCTGATGGGTCCCAGGTGCTGCCACGGACATGTAGGGTCATAGTGCAGAGGGCACTGGGGGCACACCCCCTCTGCACTGCCCTGAGCCCACCTGCCCCCACTATCTCACACACACACACGCACACACACACACGCGCACACACGCACACACACACACGCGCACACACACGCACACGCACACACACGCGCGCACACACACACGCACACGCACATGTGGCATTGGCCAGCCCAGAGGGGCGCCCACACCCTCCTTCCAGAGCCCTGTCTGCTGCCTCAGCTGCCTTCCTCCCACTCGCTCCTGGAGGGTCTGGCCCTTCCCCATCCCCTGCCGCCCCAGTTCTGTAGGCTCTGTAGGCTCTGTAGGCTCTGTAGGCTCTGTAGGCTCTGTAGGCTCTGTAGGCTCTGTAGGCTCTGTAGGCTCTGTAGGTTCTGTAGGCTCTGTAGGTTCTGTAGGCTCTGTAGGCTCTGTAGGCTCTGTAGGTTCCGTAGGCTCTGTAGGCTCTGTAGGCTCTGTAGGCTCTGTAGGCTCTGTAGGCTCCGTAGGTTCTGTAGGTTCTGTAGGCTCTGTAGGCTCTGTAGGTTCTGTAGGCTCTGTAGGCTCTGTAGGCTCTGTAGGCTCCGTAGGTTCCGTAGGTTCCGTAGGTTCCGTAGGCTCTGTAGGTTCTGTAGGCTCTGTAGGCTCTGTAGGTTCCGTAGGTTCTGTAGGCTCTGTAGGCTCTGTAGGTTCCGTAGGTTCCGTAGGCTCCGTAGGTTCTGTAGGTTCTGTAGGCTCTGTAGGCTCTGTAGGCTCTATAGGCTCTGTAGGCTCCGTAGGCTCTGTAGGTTCCGTAGGTTCTGTAGGCTCTGTAGGCTCTGTAGGTTCTGTAGGCTCTGTAGGTTCTGTAGGCTCTGTAGGTTCTGTAGGTTCTGTAGGCTCTGTAGGCTCCGTAGGCTCTGTAGGTTCCGTAGGTTCTGTAGGTTCTGTAGGCTCTGTAGGCTCTGTAGGCTCTGTAGGCTCCGTAGGCTCCGTAGGTTCCGTAGGTTCCGTAGGCTCTGTAGGTTCTGTAGGCTCTGTAGGCTCTGTAGGTTCTGTAGGCTCTGTAGGTTCTGTAGGTTCTGTAGGTTCTGTAGGCTCTGTAGGCTCTGTAGGCTCTATAGGCTCTGTAGGCTCCGTAGGCTCCGTAGGTTCCGTAGGTTCCGTAGGCTCTGTAGGCTCTGTAGGCTCTGTAGGCTCTGTAGGTTCTGTAGGCTCTGTAGGTTCTGTAGGTTCTGTAGGCTCTGTAGGTTCTGTAGGTTCTGTAGGTTCTGTAGGTTCTGTAGGCTCTGTAGGCTCTGTAGGTTCCGTAGGTTCCGTAGGCTCTGTAGGCTCTGTAGGTTCTGTAGGTTCTGTAGGTTCTGTAGGCTCTGTAGGCTCTGTAGGTTCCGTAGGTTCCGTAGGCTCCGTAGGCTCTGTAGGCTCTGTAGGTTCTGTAGGTTCTGTAGGTTCTGTAGGCTCTGTAGGTTCTGTAGGCTCTGTAGGCTCTGTAGGCTCTGTAGGTTCTGTAGGTTCCGTAGGCTCTGTAGGCTCTGTAGGCTCCGTAGGTTCTGTAGGCTCTGTAGGTTCTGTAGGCTCTGTAGGCTCTGTAGGCTCTGTAGGCTCTGTAGGCTCTGTAGGTTCTGTAGGCTCTGTAGGTTCTGTAGGTTCTGTAGGCTCTGTAGGCTCTGTAGGTTCTGTAGGCTCTGTAGGCTCTGTAGGTTCTGTAGGCTCTGTAGGTTCTGTAGGTTCTGTAGGCTCTGTAGGTTCTGTAGGTTCTGTAGGTTCTGTAGGTTCTGTAGGCTCTGTAGGCTCTGTAGGTTCCGTAGGTTCCGTAGGCTCTGTAGGCTCTGTAGGTTCTGTAGGTTCTGTAGGTTCTGTAGGCTCTGTAGGCTCTGTAGGTTCCGTAGGTTCCGTAGGCTCTGTAGGCTCTGTAGGCTCTGTAGGTTCTGTAGGTTCTGTAGGCTCTGTAGGCTCTGTAGGTTCTGTAGGCTCTGTAGGCTCTGTAGGTTCCGTAGGTTCCGTAGGCTCTGTAGGCTCTGTAGGTTCTGTAGGTTCTGTAGGCTCTGTAGGTTCTGTAGGTTCTGTAGGTTCCGTAGGCTCTGTAGGCTCTGTAGGCTCCGTAGGTTCTGTAGGCTCTGTAGGTTCTGTAGGCTCTGTAGGCTCTGTAGGTTCTGTAGGCTCTGTAGGCTCCGTAGGCTCTGTAGGTTCCGTAGGTTCTGTAGGCTCTGTAGGTTCTGTAGGTTCTGTAGGTTCTGTAGGCTCTGTAGGCTCTGTAGGCTCCGTAGGCTCCGTAGGCTCTGTAGGTTCCGTAGGTTCCGTAGGCTCTATAGGCTCTATAGGCTCTGTAGGCTCCGTAGGCTCCGTAGGTTCCGTAGGTTCCGTAGGCTCTGTAGGTTCTGTAGGCTCTGTAGGCTCTGTAGGTTCTGTAGGCTCTGTAGGTTCTGTAGGTTCTGTAGGTTCTGTAGGCTCTGTAGGCTCTGTAGGCTCTATAGGCTCTGTAGGCTCCGT